TATATATATATATACATATAGTTAATTATATATATGTACATATATATGTAGATATACTCCACAGCCAACAAAGTTTATTTCAAATATACTACTAACCTGCAGAGAATGCTATTCAACTTGAGTTCCCATTTTTAAAACAACTAAAATTATTACTATTATTTAATTTAAATATATTTATTGTTTCATTATTAAAGTAATATGAGCACATTAAAGAAAATCTGGAAAATAAATCAAAAAAGAAAAATCAAACCCCATTCCAGGCTTAATTAGTGTTTATTGTACTTTCCAATGCAAAATTTATTACTTTGTTAACTGTTGTAGGTTGTCTTGCTCAAACCAGACAACAAAAGGTATAAAAATAGTTAATATTCATCTTCCCTCTTTGCCTGTCCCTTCTACCTCAGGGCGTGAGTGATATCAGCTAGGCATTACACTGTCAGTGTTTTTCTTGCTCGTACAAATATACAAAAAATTGTACACTTATGGATTCTGAATTTTTTTTTCTTCATGAATATCCTCTAGCTCAAAACATATTGGTGTCATTCATTTTAATAGTGTAATAATACTCATAATAGATGTATGATAAGTTGTATAGTCATTTACTTAGTTGTCCCAAACAGGGAATAAACATTCATAAATATAACTATGAATAAATATAGGTGTAAATATAGACACAGACATAGATATTATATATATTGTCTATGACATATCCATAGATGTGTAAGAACAGTGTAACTCTGTTGTACAGATCCCCAAAATAAGGCCTACCAGATTAAAATGTATTCACATTTTAATTTTAAAAGATATCAGATTAATCACCACAAATACTGTAACAAGTCCTACTTCAAACAATTACTTCCAAAAGGGTTTCTGTTCCCACAGTCCCTCAACAGCAGTGGATGGTAAGAGACTCAAATCTCCTACAATCTGATAGATTAAAAAAAAAAAATCTTATATTTTTAAAGGTGTTTCTCTGAAATGCTAATTTTCAACTAGTGATGATTATTTTCATTTCCATAGCAATTACTCATTGGTATTCTTGGCCCATTTTTCTCTTGGGTAGTTTGCCTTATTAAAATTTTGGACATTTTTGTGTATTCTGTATAATAACCCTTTGTTTTTTGTGAAGCAAACATATTCTCTCTGGCGATTGTTTTCTTTTCACTGAATATTGTTACTTTTGTAAAACTATATGTTAAATTTTGATGTATTCAAATGTTTTAATGGATTCTGATTTCTTGTCTCATGATTTTTTATGTCATGTATTTTTTATTTTTAATTTTTTCATTACAACTCAATATAATGAAACATAAAGATTTTGAAAAACAAAGAAAAGGGATGAGGGTTGGAGACAGTTGCCATCCTATCTAATTACCTTTAGCACTTTTGAGTATTTCCTTCCAGGACTTTTTTTCTTTTTTTTTTTTATCAAAACTTTTAAAACAATGTTTAATCCTGTTTCAAATATCACTTTTGACTACAATCAATATTATATGGGTACTGTATACAATTTTAAAAGCTTTTTTGTGTGTCTTTATACCAGATTGGGAAAGTCCTGGGTCTTGACGCAAAACTAGTTTTGCACTTTTACTTTAAAAAGGTACTTGAAACAATTCCTAATGATATTTTAATTTTCAGATCTCTCTAGGTAAGGTTTACCTTCCCTCTGTGGAAAAGTATTCAGTAGATTCCAAACTACAATGAACAATGAACAGACCTGGGGTCCCAAAATAAGTAAAACATTCTCTCCAAAGAAGACTCATTAGAGGGTTTTAATGTTTTTTTTTGTTTTATTTCCTATCTTTACTCTTTCTCCTACTAGGTATCTGGTATGGAATTCTTGAAGGAATTGGTATATTGGCTGTTATCACCAATGCGTTTGTAATTGCTATTACATCTGATTACATCCCACGTTTTGTCTATGAATACAAATATGGCCCCTGTGCAAGTCGTTTTGAATATGGTGAAAAGTAAGGTTGAAATTTACACATTTTTTCTTATATTTTTTGTTTGTGATTGAAATGGGAACTCATTGGGAAGTTTTGTTCTGTGACCGTTAAGGTTAGTGTTTTTGATCATTGCACTTAAAGTGTGCTTATTGGATGAAATCAAGCGGAATAAAAAGGGCAACAGTGTTTTTTATGCAAAGATTGTGAAGTCTCTCTCTGTTTTTACTTGTAAATGCATCACTGGTATCGAAATGTTAAAAAACATTATAATGTATTTAGAAGTGGAAGAGACATTAGAAATCATGCAATGCCATCTTCTGACTATATAGATGGAAAAATTGGGCCCACACTGGTTAATCAAATTGCTACAGGGAATAAAGCTAGTTTGTAGGAGATACAGTGCATGAAGGAAATGTCAGCTACATGATGAGAGAGTTGTCAAAAGGAATTTATAGCTAGGGATTTTAAGGTGCAGAAAATATTGCCCTGGATCTGTGTCCTTTTTTTTTTTTTTTCCTTTGAAACTAAAATTTGAATCCATGCTTTAGAGCAGGGTTCCTCAACATCTGCACTATGGACATGTTAGACCAGATAGTTCTACTTGCAGGGATGGTGGGGGTGTTCTGTGCATTGTAGAATATTGAGTAGAATCCTTGGCTTCTACCCAGTAGATACAAATAGCAACCTTCCTACTCCTCAAGTTGGGACAACCTAAAATTGTCTTCAGATATTGCAAAATGTCCCCTGAAGAACAAAATCACCCATTTTACAACCACTGTTTTAGGGGAAATGTGTGTTTCACATCTTTCCTTCTTGAAAGCAAGTATTAGGAAAGAATGTCAGAGAGCACTAGCCATGGGGAATAGAAATGGGAGTTTCAGCTGCAGATTAGCCTTACAAGTGGAAGAAGTTATGGGAGATAAAGCAATGATAGGAGAAGCCACTTCAGTCCTACCTCAGGGGCAGGTTTGAGCATGCGTCTCATGTAGATGCAGGGCATGTGCCCCAAGATGCTGAGCTCTGGTTTACGATGAAATCGACCCTTAGCTCTACTGATGAACCGATGTTTTCTCAGAACACTGAGACGCCTTTCTGAACATAAACATCTCAGTTTTTCAAAGAGAAGTAATAAAGACATAAAATCTTATTTTGTATTTTGGAGTCATGTCAAGGGACTTTAACTTAAAAGCAAACACCCTAGATTGAAATTCTTACTGCCTTTTACTAAAAGGCACAATCATCAATCTGGACCCTTAATAAAGAAGTAGTGTCTAAAGTAACATTTTATGAACTGTAAAAGACAATATAAATAAGCTACTTTTAGCATGAATAGTGAAAAGCCAAAAAAAAGTTTTTCTTAATTTAAAATAGTCCAGAAGTGGATTTTAAGGGTTTATAATATGTAGGCATGTTTGGGAACCCTCTTCCTTAGAAGTGTTGTTTGCTACTGTCTTTGCTTCCATCTAGTGGCAGGTGAAAATGAAAGTGGTTGGTTATCTGCTGTGTATTCATTTCCAGTCCTGCCTTTCATGTAGATAGCACCAGACATCTCCATATTCTGTGACTAGATGTAGAATAACTTTAAGAAGAGATGTAGAGGGCTTATACGAGGTTGAAACTGCACATTCCTAAGACCATCCTGTTACTTAATTTTTTCTAGGTATGCTTAACAGCTAAGCTGGAGTAGATTCATTCAGATCAGAATTTTTCAGACCAAGATAGCAAAAGGACAAAATGGCGGTGGAGAGGAGGGTATTGGCAAGAGAGCAGTTAAAATGACAAATCATGGGGTCTGGGATGGACAGGCAAGGGAGTAAAACCAGTGCAGTCCTGTACTTCAGAATTCAGGGTTTACAATGAGATAGATGTACATTTGAATCCAGGTTTGAACGGCCGTTTGTTCTGGGCAGTGATTTTCAACATGTATGTCCTTCAGAGTCCACAAGGCCGATATTGTTTTCATAATAATACTAAGATATTCTATATATATGTATGCTATATATATATGTATGATATAATGACATTAGTACAGATGATACGAAAGCGATAGTGGATAAAATGCTCTTGTGGCTTTGCGTAACTGAAGGCAGTGGTACCAAAAACAGCAATGACTGTATTCCTTTGTATAAGCACCATTTTAGAAAATGCCAGTAAGAAAATTCAGAATGTCCTTGATGAAACAATAATTATTACATTTATTAAACCCCCGCCTTGAATAAATGTCTTTTCAGTATTCCATGTGACAAAATGCAAAGTGTGATAAAGCACTTCTCCTATATGCTAAAGTGTGGTGATGCTCGTCTCAGAGTAAACCACTTGCATGATTGTTGGATTTGCAAACTACACAAAATGCTCTTATTGTGATATAATGATTTCCAGATAAACTATGATTATTCAGACTGGCGTATGTAGGAGACACTCTTCTAGAAAATGGACAAAACTAGCTTGTCACTTTAAGAAAAATAACTGACATATTTGTTGCCATTAATAAAGTTCAGGTTTTAAAGTGAAAATCAAAATTTTAGATAATTTTATCTACCACTGACCTTGAAAGTTTCCCAGTACTTACAGATTTTTCTTGATAAAAATCAATGGTGATATTAACAATTATGCTTTTCATAGTCTATAGTAAAAATATAACAATATTTGGAAGACCTGCATAATTGAAGAAACAGATATTTCCCAGATGACCCATATTTAAGGTTACAAAATTATGCATAGGTAAATATGACTTCAAAACACAAGATAGACCTGTGGATTTTAATGTAAAATCCATATAAAAAGTTTATTGATACTTTAAGACTCCACGTTGCAATTAAACTTTAAGAAATGGCACAGGTAGAACTTTGGTGTAATATCCATGAAAACTATCAACAATTATTTGAAGTGCTATTAAAATATCCTTTGTTTCAACTACTTATCTATGTGAGGCCGGATTCTCTACTTACTCTTCAACTAAAACACCGTACTGCAATAGATTTAATGCAGAAACAGATGTGAGAATGTAGCTGTATTCCAGTAAGACAGACATCAAAGGATTTGCAAACATGTAAAACAATGTCATTCTTCTTACTATATTTTTTGGAACTTATCACTATTTTCCTTTAAAAATGTGCTGTTTATATCAATTTGTAATGAATTTGATAAATTATCTTAAGTGAATTAATAGATAGATATTTTCTAAATTTATTTTAATTTATAATGTGTGAATAGCAATGCATACACATTCATGCAAAAAGGTTCTTGAGATCCTAGTAATTTTTTAAAAAAATTTAAAGGTTAGTTGAGCTCAAAAATCTTGAGAATTATAGACTTGGAGGAAGTTAGTCTCTGTAAAACTTAGTTCTTTATATGACAGAATTGATAATGTACATGTTCTAAGGTTATTGTAAAACTTAACTCTGACTACAATTTAATACCTCACCATCAGGATAGGAATTTCTACTTGTTTTGTTCATTGTCAAATACCAATCATCTAGGAATTTTTCTAACAAATTATAGGTCCTCAATAAATATATGTTGAATAAGTTAAATCACAAATACACATGCTGTTCTATTGGCTGCTTAATTATAATTATAATTAATAATTAGCCAGATAGTGTGATTTGCATGTATAAAACATATATGTATGGAGTTTTAACACATAGGAAGTAATTAGCACAATGCTTAGTGCACAGTCAGCGCTTTATAAATGTAATCCAAATGAATGGGGAGAAACAGTGGAGGGGTGCCTGGGTGCTCAGTCCGTTAAGAGTTTGACTTTGACTCAGGTCATGATCTTGCGGTTTGTAAGTTTGAGCCCTGCGTCGGGTTCTGTGCTGACAGCTCAGAGCCTGGAGTCTGCTTTGTATTCTGTGTCTCGTCTTCTCTCTGCCCTTCCCATGCTCATGCTCTGTCTCACCCTGTCTCTCAATAATAAATAGATGTTAAAAACAAAATTTAAAAAAAACAGTGGACAAGAGTTTGTCTCATTAACGTAAATGTACATAATAATGGAAGTTAGAGGATTAATAGGACTTATTGAATCCTGTCATGTGTAATGAAAGAATTGGACCAGAAATGTATAGATCTCTGAATCATGTGATACTTTTCTTTTTTCCCCAGTTGTTTAAAGGGATATGTCAACAACAGCCTATCCTTCTTTGACCTGAGTGAGCTTGGTGTGGGAAAATCTGGTTATTGCAGGTACATACTTGTAAATTATAGCTATCTTTTCTTCTTGCTTTTATCATTCCATCTCCTCCCTCTACATGCTAATGAGCCCATTTCAGCTGTCATTTTGGAGTTTTGGTAAATTACAGCATTTGGGGCCTCCATGCTTTGGTCTCTATTCCTCACATTGTTTGTCTTGTGGATTTTAGGTACCGGGACTACAGAGGTCCCCCGTGGAGTTCTAAACCCTATGAGTTCACCTTACAATACTGGCATATCCTCGCTGCACGATTGGCCTTCATTATTGTGTTTGAGGTTAGTCGCAGGCTGATAAAATTACTATCAGTAAACCCTTTTCCTACTGATAAATTAGTTGGCCCTTTGAAGTCAGTTCCTCACTGACTTCCAAAAAAGGACTTGTGTATATCCCAGTAAAAGATTCAGATACAGTGAAACTGCTATAAGAAGTGCAAAAAAGCAAAAGCTGAATAATGTAAGAATGTAGGTCAGTGGGTATTTATACCAGAAAACTAAGACAAAAGAAGCTATTAACAGTTCAACTGAAAACTTAGGTTTGAGCCTGTTAGTAACCATATTTAAAAAGGAAAGGATGGTTTTCATCATGTGATGAGAGAATCTATACTTATTCATTGGGAATAAGAAACATATTTTCTAATAACTTAATTACAGTTGACCATATGTGTGTTTGTATAAGGGACATTGCATAATTCAATAAATAATGCCCGAGAACACTTTCATAAAATGTGCATAGATTTTGATTATCAGAGTGATGTAATAATATTCGACTGTAGTCCTGTGAAGAAATTTTGGAGAAGCTACAGTATTGTTGCCTTCCTTAGCATATAAGAAGCTTGATGCCGTGGAGAATTTAGTGTTGGAATATATTGAGTATCGATTCTCTAAGGTACCATTAAGTTCTATGGAAAAACTGAATATATCTGTTTTTTTATGGAGAGGAAAAAAAGACATACATAAGACTTTTGGAAAGAGTTTTTTTAAAGGCAGATATACCTCTCCACTGATCTCCAAAAAATATGTCAAATTTTGTAGTGAAACATCCTTCATCCATAAAACGAAATGCTTACCTCTAAGGTTTAATCCAAGATGAAATTCTATTTACCTAATGATTCCATGAGCTTATAAAAGTGTCTCCTGATGAAGTGTGATGTTTCACTTTATTACAGGTAACATAAGAGAGGTTAAGGCATATTTCCAACCCAATGATTCTAAAAAGTCTTCTTGTTATTGTGTGTGTTTTTAATGTACACTTTTCTATTCATCTTCTTTTGGAACTCAAGTGAACAGTCTTAGTCAAATGCCTCAATTTACAGCAACTTGTCATCATGGAAACAAATGATTCCCTCTTTATTTTTTCTTCTTTATTCCTCATTACTAATTCCATTACCCACCCACTCCAAAAGCACCCACTCTTTTTTCTTCAGTAGAAATTTTCCCACATGTTTATTTGAACATACACATATGTATATATAGTATTGTTTTAAGTGTTCTTTTTTCAAAATTACTTCAATGGTATTATGCAATAACTTATTTTCGTCTCTTACCCAGTTTACTTTTTTTAGACCTAGACAGAGATCTTTCTATGAGGTCTATCCATATTTAGATAATTTCTTCAGTCTACTTATGTATGATAGTTCATTGGTTTTAAATACCATAATCCCCTATGGGTGGGTACTTGGGCTTGCAATAATCTCTCTACCTCTATAAATCTCTTATAAATATTGGACATACTACCTTCTAAACATACTTAAGGGTTTTTCAGGAACATTATACTCAGGTTTGGAAATTGTTTAGTTTCACATAATACTGACAGATTACTCTCCAAAATTCCCTTAGATTTTCACCAGATTTTCATATAATGTGAATTTCTAATATTTTGCAATTGAATAAGAGTAAGGTAATATTTTGTTTTAATTTTGTTTGTTTGTTTTAAGCTGTTAACTCACGTCATCAACTTTTAGTACTACAAAACCATTTTGGTTTCCTTTTTTGTGAACTTATAACCTTGATCTATTTTTGGCTGAATTTCTAGTTTATTTGTTGCCAAATTTCAAGATTTTGTTACGTGTCCTACATATTAGTCTTCACCAGTTATAAATATACAAGATATCTTTTTCTTGTCCATAACCTATTAATTTTATCTATAAACAAATAGTGTTTAATTTTGATGTCATCAGGTCCTTCATTGTTTTCCTTTTAATATTTTTGCTTTTTTTGTGTGTAGTTTATTTAGGAAATTGTCTTATCTCCAGCTCAAAAATATATTCTACTACGTATTTTACTATTAATTATATAATCTTACCTATCACATGTGTTAAAGATATCTGGACATTTTATAGAGACTAAGGGAAAATCTTATTTTTCTCATTCAATATAATTTTTATACTGCTGTTTATTAAATAATGTATTATTTAACCATTGATTTGTAAACCCACCTCTGTAATTTTCCAATTTCCTATAGTAGGTGTGTCCCCGGCCACAGTGTTCTGATTTCATTACTCCATTTGTCTATTCCTGTTCCTTATCACACTATTTAAATGTCCTGGCTTTGGAATATATCTTCATATCTGATAAAGCCAGCCACTTCCTACCCCTGCCAAGTTTGCTTTTTTTTTTTTTTTTTTTTTTTTTTTTTTTTTTGAGAGACAAAGTACAAGCAGGGGAGGGGCAGAGAGAGAGGGAGACAGAATCTGAAGCAGGCTCCAGGCTCTGAGCTGTCAGCACAGAGTCCGAAGTGGGGCTCAAATTCACGGACTGAGAGATTATGACCTGAGCTGAAGTTGGACGCCCAACATATTGAGCCACCCAGGCGCCCCAAGTTTGCTTTTATTTTTAAAAATTGCCCTAGCTGTTTAGAGTTATCCATCATTTATATACATTTCAGAAGCCATTTTTCAGGTCCCCTCAAATATCATGCAAGGATTATGGTTAGAATTGCATTTATAGAAAACACATGTTGACTTATCTACAAAATCTGTGCTGATTCATTAATAAACATGAAATTTATTCAAACCATTCTTACATACTTTAATAGAGTCTCAAAATATTCTCTTACTTGTTCATTCCTTTTTATTTCCAGAAACTTTGTAGATATTTTTATTGCTGTTATAAACACAGTCTTAGCCTCCATTATGATTTGATTGATTTCTGTTGGAATTCTAATGGTCTTTTCTAACATGTGCAATGTCCCTTGTTTAAGTCTTTCATTGGTTCTAACCTTCTGTCTGTTAAATCTGTTCGATAGCCTTTTCAAGTGATAATACGAGTTGCAAATAAGGACAGCTTTGTCTCTTCATTTGTGAGGTTTATGCTCATTTCTCCTGCTTTCCTTACTGTGTTGCTGGAAATTTCAGTAGGATATTGAATAGCAATGGTGTGAGCAATTGTATCTTGTTTCTAAATTTAATGGAAATACTTCAGATTTTTTTAAAATATATTTGCTGCAGGTTTTTTGTTTAAGATACACTCTGTCAGTTTAAGAAAATTATCATCTGTAACTGGTTACAAGGCTGCTTTGATAAATGGTAAACTTTAGCCTTTTAAAAAATAGATTTTTTAAAATACTGAATCATTCTCTCTATGTGAATCCGTTTATAGCTTCATTTATTACCATTGTATAGGACTCAGAGCATATTCTTCACTGTTTTAAATTATAACAAATGTTTTTGATTTTTATTTCTATACTTTTGAGACCCATTGCTGGATATTTATGTGCATACCAAATATATGATCAGGAAAGAAACTCCCGATCTACTTTTCTATGGTGAATACGACAGGCTTTACTGTGACCTACTGTGCAGTGCAATTTCCTGAGGCGCTGACGTAAACCCAGTTAAAATACCTTGAATTCCTCCTTTCCACATAAAGAGAAGGTTGTCACAAAGTCCTGTAGGTAAATTCTTTTTTTCCACACATCATCCTAACTCTATCAGTATCAGATTTTCTTTTCTGAGCAACTGAAAGGTCTACTCTTCTCCATGGGAAAAGAAAAAGGATGCAGTTATTATAATAGGAGATGATATTTAAGTGTTGCTTCTATTGCATCAAGCCCTTCTTTAAGCCCTTCACATATATCTGCTCATTTAATCCTCATAATAACCATTAAGGGATATCATTCCTGTCACCATTTTAGAGATTAGACACAGAGAGCGTAGGTGATTTGCAAAAGGTTACACAGCTAATAAGGGTCAGAGGATGGTTCAGACATAGGCAGTTTCATTCAGCCTCTGAACTTTGGACCACAGGCTTATTACCTTTTGGTTTTTGGTCCTGTCTTTTTTATATACAATACTTTTGGCAGTCTATTTTTAAAAATTAATACATTTTTATCATAAAGGAATTATGTAATAGAGACAAAATATTTTATAATATTTGAACTTACTAGAGTAGAAAATCTATGAAATGCATGTTCTGGAGATTGAGTCCACAGTCTCACAGAATGCAGTAATGGACCGACTGTATTCTATGTGGCTTATACAATGTGATTATGATCTATCAGACCTGAGTTTTCCTGGATGTGGTCTTTCTCATCTCTATATATCAATGCATGTTATAATAGGATTGCATAGTATATAAGGATTTTATAGATGTGAACTTAAGATTCATTCAGTGTTTATAAAGTGATTTTTAACATGTGGCACCTAAAAGAGGAAAGAATTCTCTTTTCTCCTAATACTTATGTGATGGAAGGCAACAGTATAGTTGTTCCAATATAATTTCTTTAAAATTTTTTAGGTTTATTTATTTTGAGAGAGAGTGTGTGTGTGTGTGTGTGTATGTGTGTGTACCAGCACAAGTAGGGGAGGGGAAGAGAGAAGGAGAGACAGAATCGCAAGCAGGTTCTGCCCTATCAGTGCAGAGCCTGATGCGGGGCTGGAACTCACAAACTGTGAGATCATGACCTGAGCCGAAATCAAGAGTTGGATGCTTAACCGACTGTAGCACCCAGGCACCCACCAATATAATTTCTGAAAATATTAATATTCTAGATAGTACACTCTGAGTTCTGATGCTTGATTGTAAGGCAAATGCAACATTGTTCACAATCTGTTCTATAATTGGCATTCCAGAATCATTGAAAAGTGTACTTTCTCCTCTTAAATTTGCAGCACCTTGTTTTTGGGATCAAGTCATTCATCGCATACCTGATTCCGGATGTACCAAAGAACCTGTATGACCGAATACGACGGGAGAAGTACTTGGTCCAAGAGATGATGTATGAGGCTGAACTAGAACATTTGCAACAACAACGGAGAAAAAGTGGTCATCCTGTTCACCATGAATGGCCTTAGTTAATACCAAGGGGCAGTACCAATGGTGGGAATGATAGCAACCTTAAATTCTAGGGGGGATCCAGGAGGAAGGCATACCTGGCAAACCATATATATGATATGTTACTTGGAAATGCATCACAGCCATCTCTGAGATTTGGAATATCCAGGCTTCTAGGGAAGAAAAAAAAATGACTCATGACATCTAAATGGTTAGATTGACATTGCAGGAAGCAGGGATCTAATTCTCAGAACCAGCCTCAGGGAGTTGTGTGTTTGGAGACCTCTACCTTCCGTCAGCTGCAGTGTGATAGGAAGGGTGGTGGTGAGGTTTCTAGCAACAGTTTTCCATGTAAACGTTCATAAGCCAGGCATGCTAACAGTATCACCTGCTCTTCAGTCACATACTAATCTGACTTTGGAAACTTAGGTGAGTTGAGATACTTACAAGAAATGACTTACATCAGTTATTGCCTTTGCTGCCAGAATTCCATGTCCCTTCAGCTTACAAGTTTGGGGAATTTTTTTTTCTGAGTTTATGGATCTGTGCTACAAGGAATTTATGCTGCTTTACATTGACTATGCAGTCGAAGAGTTGCACACCTTTAGTAGTCAAACCAAAAATCTAAGATTCTAAAAAGAATATCATTCACTGAAACATACTCTATTGCATTGGCTACATTCAAATGTGTTGTATCACTGACAGAACAAGTTTCACTGCCTTTTTTTTTTAAATTAAATTTCAGTAGAGCCACATACTTATAAAATATGGGTGTTTATTCTCATATCATTTAGAATACCACTCATCCATATTTTACCGTGGAGGGCTGTTTTATAGTATGTTTAATTTTTTCCTCCCTAGTTTATTATAACAACTCTCACAGAATAACAGAATAATTTGAAATGCTGTAAATATGTTAGTTTTCCTTGTATTTTTGCACCTTGGCAATATGTAATGCAAGTTACATTTTGTGCAGCTCTGAGATCAGTTACATGGTATGCCATCGTGACTTATTTATTCAGGAAATCAGAAGCCAAATGCTTTGCAACACGTTAAGCTTTTCTAACAATGTGCACTTTTGTTCATGAGCTAATGAAAACAATGCATGAATATAAATTTATATTATTTGTAAATACACACACATGTATTTTTTGTTTTATTTCCTTTTCATCAGTAAAGGGAGTTTTCTGTTACTGTTTCTTTGATAGATTGATTTGGTTGATTTTTGAAAACTCTCTAAAACCAGGATCAAATCAACAATGACAGACATGGTTTTGTATTGTTGTGGAGTTGCTATTTCGGTGTCAACTCTGTGAGTGTTATTGTTCACAGAGGGATGCAATGGGAATGATGAAACCTCGAGTAACAAAAGTCTGGCGGAGGCATAAGCTCTGGGAGCAGGTGGGGAACAAAGAGGAGAGTTGAAGTAAGGGAATGTGTGGGAGAAATCAAGACACCTTTCCTTGCGAAAAAAATCAAAACTGATCTCAGTTTTCCTCCCCTGGGAATGGGGTGGCGAATTACATACTCACACATTTATATACATATATATAATCATATATATGTATTGTGTGATTATTATTTGTCCAATTAGGGTTTTTTTCCAATTAAAAATTTTCCAATTTTTTCCCAATAAAATTCTCCAGTTTTTTCCGATTGCTTTCCAAATAAAGCATGGTTGTTTCCAAAATGTATAAAGACCAGATTAAAGACAATGGAAATAAAGCTGCTTTGTATATATGCTAGAGTATCTCTAGTAAGAAAATTATAAAGTTTCTTACTGGAAAACTATTTGCTATCATTCTAACCCTGAAAATGTTTTTTTGTTTTTTGGGTTTTTTTTTTTTTTTTTTTTTTACTTTTTCTTCTTTTATTCCAGGAAAAAGCTGACAGATTATAGTTGTTCGTTGGTTTGTTCTTGTCAAAAATGAACACTTCCCCACTTGCCCTCTGATTCTGGGCAAAAGGAAGGACCCCAGACTCTAAACTTCCCTCCCAAGCCCTTGTTGTCAAGGACTCTTACATTCAGATTCCTCGGAGGTTCTGTTTCTGCCACCTGCTAGTCATAACAACTAGTTCCACTAACTGCACAAAGGAGTTTTCAACTCCTCCATGTTTGTGGTATCTGCAGCATTTCCTTTTATTTTGTTAGTTGAACGTATACCATGCCTGAGGATAAATGTTCTGTACGCCTATTGAAGACATAAATGAACCTGACATTTATGTCTTTCCCAAATTAGGGACACAAGACAAAAATATTTGTCTTACTGTAGAGCAAAGAATAGTGATAGTCATGCCCTTGAGAATTCTGCTCTTTCTGAGTTATTTTTATACTACCACCATCAGTGTTGAAAATCGTATTGATTGCCTAGAGAGAAAGAAAACGAAAAGAGAAAGGCATTTTCAATAAAAAGCTATAATACATTGATTTAGGCATTGCTGCCTTTGGTAATTTTCGAGACCAATAGAAAATGAGAGAATCACAGAAAAAGTTACCTGAAATTCTCCTTTTGTGAAACAATGCAGTAGAACCTAGCTATGCTTTTATGGTTGTTGACAGCAAAATATTGACAGCCCCTCACAGTATGTGAGTTTTAAGTCACTCTGCTTTCGTTGAGAGATATGTTTTATATCATGGTTTTCATAGGAATACAAATTATTTCACAAAGATTTATATAGCACACACTATTCTCAGGAATTCTGTATTACATGAATGCTGCTTATCTATTTTCATATTCTAAATCGTTGTCTTTTCAAGCAAATGACTAACATATATGTGCATGCAGTCTGCCTTGACAAGTTGTTCAAAGCTGAAGCACTTTCCCAGTCCAGTGTGTGAAAAATTTATCGAGACTATAGCTGAAATAGTTTGCAGTTGTCTGAGTCTGTGCACGCACTTTTCGATAAAATGCTGCTGAGTGACTGCATGATGAAATACAACTTCTGAACGCTGCACTTTCTTCCAGAATGGCTGTTAGCACAATCTGTTTTAGAACGGAATGGAAAGGAACCTCTTTCACTCAATAAATTGTGTGATACGGTATTTTCCTATAATTTGCATGTTAAATTTAATCCTGCTTGTTTTTTCACTATAAGTTGGAGTGTGTTTGGGGAGAAGGGATTGCTCATTCTTTAGCTCTAAAGGCAATAGTTTCCTATTCTTGCAGGCCCTTGTTACACTCTTAAAAAGTTTTGGCTATTTGTTCTCTGATAAGCTCATTGTCATCATCAAGGCATTTGCACATGAAAAGTACAGATGGAATACCGTACTGATTCTAATAATGCTTTGTTCTAGAAACAGAGGGGAGAGGAAGGTTGATTTGTTCTTATGAAAGCAGTAAATGTTTTTCACACAGAAGCATTTTCTTTTTTTCACACTTGGGCTGACTCCACCAATCATCATCAAAATCTCCTTAGGATAGGAATTTTAGCACAGATAAAGTTCATGCCAAGCAAGGAGGACATACAGAGACAGTGTAGCCAACTGGCAACAATAGGCTACCAAATTGCCCATGTTCTCTCAACTTGATGCTCAAAATTGAAAATTTAGGTTGCCTGAAGAGTTGTGTAACTAATATGGTTGAGCTGATAAGTTTGTCAATTGGAAGCAGGTAAACATAGGCCCAGGGTATGGTGTGTGTGCTTGTGTGTGTGTTTGCGTGTGTGTGGGGAGGGGGGGGTGCACGTATGCATACTTACTCTCTGAGATATGCCCAGCTCAGTCCTACTATGGTTATAAGGTATTTCCACTACATTTTCCCCCAAATCACTATATTATAACAGGTTTTAGGAATAATTGTAGATTTCATCCAGAGAATAAGTCATCATCTTATTCTTTCTGGTATTTTCAGTCACTTAGGAGAGAATGTTTTAGGAATGGCCTAAAAAACCCGGCTTTTGATAGAAATGTGTGAATTTCTCTACAGGCATTGCTATTCAAATTGAAATGTGCCAAGAGTTGTCTAACTGGAAGATTGATTTAGCTTTAGCTAGAATCATTGGTCAGACTAGGTTCCTACTACCTAAGATGTATGCATTTGCAATGGTGATGTCTTCAATGGAACTTGCCACCTGGATTCATCTGAAAAACTACATCCACAACCACATTTGATGGTTTTCTTTCTAGAAAACACAAGTATTATAGCCACTATGTTCTAGCAACATCCACATTAAGGCATCTTTTTTTCAGGAAAGGAAAATGAAAGCAGATACGTTGATAAAAAAGAGACTCATATTTAGGATAAAATCCAATTTCTTGTATAATCAAAATCTACTCTCGGGGAGAAGCAGCTTATCCATCGAATCTCACTGTTTTATATGATGATCCCACTTTGTGCCCCAGCAGGATTCTCCCTAAATAAAACTGGTTCTACATCCAGCTGGCTCCAAGTGAGTCTTGAGTACACGAGAGAGTAAACTGTGTGGATGCTGTGTTACATCTTTCTTTAAGAAGGAAGGGGGCAACATTTCCAGACATATGCCTATATTGACTTCCTCAGAATATTTATTTCCATCTTAATTCTCTCTGTGAGTGGAAAAAGCAGTTTCTCTGCTTTCCGTTTTTCAGAAGGGAAAACTTCCTAAATTATTAGTTGAAAAACAAAATTTAATGATACCTATTAAATAGTCCCCACAAAATATAACTGTTATATATATGGATGGCTAACCCCATGTGGTATTCACACTGCCTCAAATGCTTTATAATTATTTTGTCGGTGTCCATGCCACTCAACATTACCAGGTGAATATAGGCAGCCTAATTTATTTTTTAAATGATTATTTTTTAAAATAATCTCTATGCCTTACATGAGGCTTGAACTCACAACCCTGAGATCAAGAGCCACGCCCTCTACTGACTCAGCCAGCCAGGTGCCCCCACATCAGGTTAAATCTAATCTTTCTAACAAATGGTATGAGCCAGACTTTCCCCACTTTTCATTAAGTGAGAATAGGGGGATTGAGTGGCCAGAAAAATCTGATGGCAAAGATAATTGTGGAAGCAATGTTTGGGGTATGGTTG